TTGGCAGGGCGAGGACAAGATGGACAAGGTTCTCCTCGCAGCAGATCCCAAGCACAACAGCAGGAGCGGAGCAACCACGCTGAGCTGCTCCAATTGCTCACACCTCACCAGACAACTCTCCAGCCTGCACAGGCAAATCTTCAACCTGATTGTTCGCACCATGTGTTCGGACAAAGTGGGAATCCCTCATTTTCCCCGCATCTTAGCAACCACCTCGGTCCAAGCGGGCGCGAGCATCTCTAAAACCCCGGCCTGGCTCGCGGGCGAGACGGAGCAGTGTCACCTCGGCCCGCCAGGCCGAGCTCCGTAGAATTTTTGCCCTGGAAAATTGTCCAAAGCAAGCCCGTCTCAATCCGTAGTGCGACACGACAACAAGAAGGACCAATACCACCCGTCATAGTTTGATTTTGAACAACCCTGCTAAACATGGCCAGCAAACGGTGGCCACAGCGGTTCATTCCCAAGCCATTCAGGCACCAAGTAAACCCGCCACAGGCCATGATCGATTGCAGGGTTGTCCTCGTTCCCTACTCAGAATGTTTAGAGTTTAGGGAAGCGCTTCATGCATGAGGCTGCATCCTTTGACAATCTTGACGGTAACTTTATTGAAGTCCAAATGGGCATGCCCCAGACCACCCGGCGGAAATGGGGCATACCATTGAACGTGGTCATTGTGGTTTGGAGAAAAATTGAAGACCACTCAGTGGGCCCCAATAGACCGGGGCCCCAGCCACAGAGTCTGCCAAGGCCTCCTTGCGCCCTGGGTGCAAGCCAATCCCTCTTGTGCCACCACGCGTTTCTTTCGTGTGGGGTGCTCTGTTTGCTGGAGACCCGTCCCAAATGCAGAAACTGCAAGGGTGTGTTGACTGGCTGCCAACCTCAGCCACTTGCAACAACTCCAACCCAAACAAAACTTACCTGTTTTCCCACTAGAAACCCTGCACGGAAAGCTCGAAGCAGATCGCGCCGAAACGGCTTGACTCAATTCTAGGATCACTCTGATGCGCACGCCTGCTGCTTTTCACCCTGGCCGTTGCCCAAAGACGGACTTCTTCAAGAAAGTCCTTGGGCTTGCTCCGGACCCCCAACTGCCTTACACCCTTAATAAAAGCTCGCTGGCCATTGCTCAGCTGGCAGCTTCCCAAGTAGAGCCAAAAGTCAAATGTGTGAAAACGACCCCCTGGTATGGACCAGCTTTTTGATTACTCAAGGATCGATTGATTATGGCCCACATATGCAAGAGGGCATGAGCTTTCTGCTAAGCTTGTGAGTATGCGTTGCTTGTGTCAACACTGAGGCCGAGTTCCGGTCAGAAGTCATGTTCTGCCGCGCCACCTTCTGACTGCAACCAAAGCACAGGACCCTGCCTTAGAGCAATCGCGTTGGACTCAAATAAGCTGCATCCCTGACTATGGATGGGGGATCTTCAGCGAACCACTCAGTAGCCTTCCAAATAGGGGTAACTACTGGTGGTCAGGGGCTGGTGAGCATTCCTCACGGCAGCGATGCAGTTTGACCTGCTTGACCCACCACCCATGCAAACGAGCATTGTGAGGTCCATTGGCTGAATGGAGCTGAATGGGGCTGATTGGGGTCTGATGGCGTCAGAACCGAGTTCGTGGGCTCTTCTATTCTGCAATCTGTGAAATTTCTGCTGTAATTGTAATTTCCCAGCTGGAAATAAAGGAGGGGACCTTCGTCGCCGGTGAGCTCGTTTTACCCCGAGGTGAGCTCGTCACAATTTGCCCCCGGCGAAAAATATCGGCTCCCCCGGCTTCCGCCGGGCCTGTCTTCCTCTCGCGCGCGTTTGTCACATTACCTGACGGGTTCAGAGGGTCAAGGAGCCACCATCGGCCTATCCCTTGTCTGCGACTCTGTAACTTATCTCTTCCTAGCGGTGCTAGTGGGTTCCAAGCAAGCCACTTTCATAGAGAGTCAAAGGGAAACCACTTTAGCTTGAGAAATGGGTGCTTTTCCCTTGGTACTTTCAGTCTTAGTGACGTGTCTGTGTGTCTGTGTGCCCTTTTTGAGGCTACACGTTTTAAGTTTTGTTCAAAGGAAAGTCATATAAAATAAGAAACAAAAACCACAATTTGTGGTAGCCCCATTTTTTCACCCGCACCCAGGGGTTTCCTTCGGTTAACCCACACCGTGGGACCTCGCAGTCCGCTCCCTCTGCCTCTCCCGGCTCAGCTGTAGAAGCTCTGCCTGGCCGGATCCGCAAAGCATGGCAACCGTTACCCTCATGTTCAGCTCATCTTGACAACAACCAACTGTTGAACACCGCCGGAAAAGACCTGGGTGTTTCGGCAGCCACCGGTAATGCTTCAAAGTAAACCGAGCAGAGCGTACATGTTCAAATTGTTGGCAAAACAAGGAGGCGGGGCTTTCAACCCTACGGTGCCGGTACACCATCGAGGCCTGCTGGCTGTCCGAGAACCGTGCTTTTGATGTTTTTCATGTTGCATCCCTGATTGTTTTCTTTGCAGGGGTTTTGACCCCTTGTCTTCTAGCTGAATCAGGCACCCCCAGGCAAGCAACCTTCATCCTGTAAGAGCCGGCTGTTGACTCCCTGGCGAGCTGTCATAAACCATGCAAATCAGTTAGTGCGTGGTGTCTGTCAAAATAGCTTGCATGGGCCTCCTTTTGCCACTTCCATCCCTTGCTGAAAGCGAACGATGGCCCATTATGGGATTGATGGCAGGCCTGAGAAAACGGTGCAGCCCCTTGGTTTTGCAGGAAAGGCGCATCTTAGACTCCCAGACTAGTTTATCAGCACAGCACTCAAATGGCCATTGTTGCAAAACGAGGTCCCCGTAAAATCGTTGGTTTCATACTCGTTTGCATTCGAAATACCATTGAAAAGCCATTCCCTGTCTAAGCCCTCACACAATCACTAACCAAAACCTTTTGCCGCACCCAACCCTGTCCCGAATCCAGAATGCGGCAGTGCCACGTGCCGGGCTACGCTGCACCTGGCACGTGCCAAACAGAACCCGAAGGAAACCAACCATTGAGGGACACCGATGGGGCCAGACGGGAGGAGGCAAAGGGGGAGTAGCGCTTTTCACCCCTGGAGGTAGGGGCATGGGAGCTTCAGAGCTCTGGCTCAGCCATGGCTGTTGGCCCTGCGTCGGAAGGGGGAAAAATCCACAACGCTCCTGAGCATACAACTGGGGTAGGTGTTAAATTCTCATGATTGCAGTGCTGCCCCCCCCTCCCCCCGCATTGCCCCCGTCCAGGGGGCTGACGTGGATGGAAGCCTTTCCAACACCAGGGATGGAGGGCCCGCGAATCATGCTCCTGCAGGTTCTGGATATCTGGAAATGAGGGGGTTCCAACCTAAAAGGCTGGGACTTGCGTGAAGCTTTAGCACCAGGCGGAGTGACATGTGCCTCTTGAAGTGTCGCCCTTGTCCATAAATGTTTGGCGTCGAGACTAAGACTGTTGTTTTCAGAGCACCACATGGATATACAAGGGAATGACGTAAGATGGCCAAATGGCCATCGAAACGAGGGACGCAATTCAGGAAGCGACATGCAACCAGGAACCTTGCAGGGTTCTTTGGCTTTGATACACAACCTCATGCACACCCAGCCGCTTCCATAACTCACTCCTGATCCCGAACTTGAGTCACATGCCCGGCAGGCTCGGACGAAACTGGACCCATCGTTTAAAAAGCAACATTGTAAGGCTTAACAAGGCGATATGCAACGACTCATGCACCAGCCAACCAGCCAGCCAGCCGAGGTAGCAACCTAGCAGCCTCGACGCCGAGCAGCCTCTGCAAGCTGAGACAAACATGGTGGGCCGGCCGGCATAAAAGGACTGCATCGCCCATGGGGGCCCCAGGCAGTCTAGGCGCACCTACCTGATCCGCCGAACTTCTGATTGCTCGCCCTCTTTAAGCCGTGCTTAGAGCTGTCGCAACCGGATGCTTGCAAACCAGCTTTGGGTTCCAGACCCACTCCAGCTGTTTGTTACACGCTTTCCATGTGGCTCTAGGCCGTGGCCTAAACGCACAAACCGGCACTGCTGACTGCGTTGAATGCAACTGCAAGATGCATGCCTCTGGCCATCCCCATGCTTGGGCAAATGGCAAACGGCACGCATGCTCACGAAGAGCTTGCCAAACGCAGCCAACACAGCCATGGAGGGCCACTGGCCGATTGCCGAAACTCATTCTTGGATCAGTCAAGGAGTCGTAAAAAGGTAGCCCCCAATAGTCCCTGCGAGCACCTGATTGTCGCCACCCGAGCTCCGGCCACCAAGTGTCGTGCTTCCACATCAACTTCTTGGCGAGAACAAGCCTATTGGCATTCAGCCGGATGTTGGGCGCACCTCCCTACCTAAATGTGGGCGCGTCCGAGGAAACAGGTGAAACACGAAGCTCCCCACTACAAGGACTACACTCACCTCCAAGCGTGGTTGATTGCTCAGTGAGAAGAGGCTTAAATCCAAAGATTTGAGCACCCAACACTAGCACTCCGCATGCAGAAAACGCAGGAAACGCTACAACAAGCTTTAAGAATACCATCAAGGCCTGAGTCAAACTCCGGCCAGCCCAGTGCATGAAGCCGATCGATAGTTTTGTCTGCATTTCGCTCCGAAGCCGCCAGCCTTGGCAGTAAGCTTGCCCCCTACGCGCCGTGCAAAGGGAGGGGATTCACCCACAGACGCAAAACTCACCAGGGCTACCATCAGCAGTTTGTCAACCCACCACACCAGCGGGCCCTAGTGGGCACGCAAACCGTCTCGCCACTGCTCCTCTTTTATGACTTCTGTAATCCGTGGTTTCCCGTGTAGCCTGCGTCCTGCTCCCAAACTCCCGGCCTCACTGTGAGACGCTGGACTCTCGCCGTTTGCGCCGCTTCGTCATCGTGGTATTCGTCCTGGGCCGCACGCGCCGGTCACCTCGTCGCGGAGGGCATCGCCAGGATTTGTGCGGATCCGGCGTGGCACTGCACGCGGCACCGCCCAAAGAGCCGCCCAAGGGAGCTTCAAATCCAAGAAGTCCATCCTGGCAAGGGCGGGGACGCAAAATGCACAAGTGCTGGCGAGCACCAACCAGCCGTGCGACGTTGGCTATTGGCGCGCGCACCCCTTGAAAGACAGCAATGTCAGCTTCACTTGTCGGAGCGCTACACGTGCTATTTTGAAAGTTTCCGCTAAGGAGTCGTGAATTACAAACAAGGAGAATCCCAATTTCACCAACATCAACTTAAAACAAACATACAATGCAATTAATCCAACGGGGTGGTCCGGCATGGTTGCCAACAGGAAATAAGCCTTCTGAAGTGACTACGGACAACTGCAACGGGCATGTTGTGGGATACTGCTGCCAATCTCGTTCTCCACCACTATACTCGAGCTACAGTGATCCGTAGAAACAAGGTAACTAATTAACTGGATCTTCAGGGCATACGTACATCCAAGGCCTTGTCGACAAGGCTGTTTGTCCCCTCTGAGGCATGCGGTCCCATTCCCTCTCGTTGGCACTGCCCTGTGAAGCTTCGAATGCAATGACTCGGCAACAAAAACAGGCGAGTTGCCATTGAATTGAACCAGCCCATCTGTGCAGCAGACCCCTATGGAATCAAGCTCGGCGTCACCAAAAAGCCACCTCAACTAGCGAGCCAAGCCCATGGTCATGGAAGCTGCGCAGCGGCGGAACATTAAATTTGTTGGTTGGCGCATTCGATTGGCAGTGGATCTGACAATCCACCCGGCCCTCTCTGCCACAGCGCAAAGCAGCGCACAGAGTGCCATTTCGGATCATTTTGCATCTAATTATGCGGCGCGCATCCCCCCCCCCTCTCTCTGCTTTCCACCCCGGGCCGCACTCAATTCACCCCCTCCCCTCCACCCCAAGCACCCCTCTTCACCCCAACCATCCCGACCAGCTCCACCCCACCCCCCCGCCCTCCACAAACAAAAAGACAGCCCACCACCCCAACCTGGCCTTCGTACATCTGGGCCAGCTCCTCCGGGTTGGTGGCCTGAGCAATCAGCGCCTCCGCCTCCAAGCTGCTGCTGCGTGCCGGGATCTTCCGGTGGATGCTGGACAGGGCGTAGGTGGCCGCGGGGCACCTGGCGGGACGGGGAGAGAAGCAAAGCCAGGCATGAAGAAGTGAAGAAGTGAAGAAGTGAAGAAGCGAATCTGGAGAAGTGCGAGAACTCGCAGACAAGGGAAAGGGCTGCAACAGCTGGAAGAGAGAAGGCGCAAGAACCGATGCGGCAAGCTCGCCCGACGCCAACCCAAGCCACCCCACGCCTCGGGGCCTTCCGCGGCTCCAAGTTCTCGGCGCCTCCCACGTCGGCTGGGGTGGCAGTTCACGGGCATCGCGTATGTTACAAGTGGTGCCTAATTTCTCAAGGGGGTGGCTGTTGAGACTGACCAGACTTCCGGAGAACTCTCTTGCAGAGTGCGTGTGGAAGTTTGATTTGGACAACTCTTGTGATGGTCCCCTCTGAAGCTCAGCCTGATTGATTTGAAAGGTAAACTGCAGCAAGCAGTCCTGTTTCTGCCAGCAACATGCGTTGCATGGAGTTGCTTTAAACCTGGGCTGATGCCTTCCACAGCCACCATGCTTCCACGATCCCATCCTTTCGAGCCTGATGCGGCTGGCTGGTCATTCTGATCATTGCTGCCCTCTTGCTCATAATCGTCCTCGTCGTCATCCTCGGCCTCAGCATCGGCTGCCTGATTCTCCGCATCCTCGCGGAAGGTGGGAAGAACTGCGCCCATGTTCAACGCAGGCAGTGCAGGAAGTTGCGAGCAATGTGTTTGCTGATGCCAACGGCATGATACACACAAGTAACACTGCAGATTTGCTCCGTCAGAAGCAGCTCTCCGGCCAAGGCGGGCCCTAACCAAAACCCTGCAGTCAGTCCTGCGCTTCAGAGCCGGCCCGCTGCACACGCCGATTTCGCAAACCGTTATAGACGGTGCCTAGTGTCTCATCCATCTCCTCCGGGGCGGTACATGAGACGTGGCACCCCGAAACTCGGATTCCGTTTCTGTGAATTGAACCGGAAAAGGGTAACTTGCATCAACCCAAGATGGGATGTGCTTGGCTAAGATGATCAACTTTAAGCTTCCCCATGTGCCCCACCGAATTCGTGCTGGCAGGGCTGATTTTCTGGGTGGCCGCGCCAGTAGCAACAAGAGTGGTTCAATCGTTTTACTGAGATCCTCTGACCAATGCCCACGCCCATGAAATTTGACAGGCCCGCCTGTCCGGTTTCACTCATCTGACGATGACGTGTGGAAACACATACATATGTTGATCTCCCTCGCTGAAAGCACCTGCATTCAAGCGGGGCATTGGCAATGGGCCCCAGGCGCTTTAGGCCGAAGAAAGCGTGAATTGGCATGTTACGCTGGAGCTCGACATATCCCCAACGGCCACTCTCTCTTTTCCCATAGTACGATGCACATTTATGGCCCTTATTGTTATGCGCCTCCTCTTAGGGTACGAACCTGCCCTGCCCTCCATGACCCGCCGAGCGCAGAGGCTCCCTCCCATCCCGTCCTCCCGGTCTTGCGCCAGGAGGCACTCCTCATCCTGGCGCCCGCTGCCAGTCCGCGGGGACCTCGGGGTCCTGGGCCCCTCGTTGTCCTCGTCCTCCCGCGCCTGCGCTGGCAGCAAGACAACACCCATCGGAAAGCCAAACGGACCCAACAGTCCACTGGCCAGTGTCTCCGCCCGTGCAGGTCGTTTTAGGTTCTTTTTAGGTGAGATTGATTCAATCAGAATAGATGGCGCTCGAATCATTCACCAGCGCCATCCTGCTTTCCCCAAGGCCTCCCCAAGCCACTGCCGGAGGCCTGCGTGCTGGACGCACTGGAGGACTCCGACTTCTTGGGCGGCGGCGGTGGGTCTGTGGGCGGCGGCGGGGGCAAAGCTCCCAGCGCCGGCCTCAGAACGAAGGCTGGGCTGGGCAGACGTGGAGTCAGGGCCGGCAGTATGGTTGGAGAGCTCTTGGTCGGAAGGTTGGAACCATTCTGCTGCATTGCCTGTATAGTGACCCTCGCTGCAGTTGAATATGATCCAATCGAAAACAACGCAAAATCTCACTTGCAAGGCCGTGCTGCAAGATCAACAAAGGCGCGTTCACCTGTCTAGCCTCCTGTCTTACAAGGACCCATGAAGTGGCGCATAGGGATACAGAGCTTGCTGGTTGCGAACACAAGCGTGCGCAATGGGTCCCAGAGCGTGCGTCATCATCAGAGATAGCCCTACGTGCACCTCGAATCGTCGAAGAGTACCGCTGGGACATGCCAGCTGCTAACAGCTGCTATGAGAAGTTCCAAGGCAAATGCAAATCTGCTTGAGGTGAGGGGAACTGCTGAGGACATTTTGTTGTCGCTCTCTCTTGCTCTCTCTCACTCTGTCTCCCCCGCCCCCGCCCTCTTCTGACCTTCTGCCTTGCAAAGGGCCAAACAAAATACAAGGTCCGCAAAGTGCGCGTGGAGCCTTGGCAAAACTGGCAGCGGCCCTGCAGGGAGAACTGACAAAATCTCAGCTTTCCTGGCTTCCATCGGTTTGAACGTAAAGTCAAGACGATTCATGCCAGGCAGGGGAGGCACTGTCTCGGGTTCAATGGTTTTTGTGTCCTGGGGTGTGTTGGGTGGGGATGAAGGTGCCATGGTTTGGTGCGTGGCCATCCCAAGCGTGATTGAGATGTTCCACGGGGCCTTTCCCAGGAGACGTGAACACTTGGATTGCCCTACGAGGAAATTTCTAACTTGAAAACACAAATGCCCTGAAAGTAGCGATTTGGCTGGTGATTCACGCGAGGCCAAGAATCCCCTCTTCCACCTAAACAATGGAAGGGCGAAAACAACTGCCGCGGCACCACTCAACCTCCCGCGGCTGCGGGGGCGGCTCGGGCACCTGCCACACGTGCACGAATCGACTTCACCGGTTCCCCAAGTGAAAGAGGTTCCTACCAATAACCGCATTGGAATCTACACACCCAGCCACCACCGAATTGGGCAACCCAAGGCTCGATTTTTTAGACCATAGTCCGACTGCTTGGGGGGCAGCTGGAAGCGCTGGGTAAGAGCGATTCACCAAGCGGAATGTCGCCCCTCGTTTCGGTGAGCACGGGAGCTCCCCAAATGGTTTTGCAAGGCGCAGACTCATACCCAAGGGAAACGCTAAAATCAAGCATACTTGAAGGTGCCGGCAGTGGTGCTATCGAACTATCCTTGCAATTGGTCTGAAAGCGTCCGTGTTGGCCGCAGGCACCGGGGGAAGTGGAGCTACAAACTAAATCCCATCTCTCTCTTTCTCTCTCTCGAGTCTCTGCTTGGCGGGTCATCCCTGATCGCCGGAGCTGGTTCAAGGTTCGAGCAAAGCCTGCAACACTGCACTTGCACCCACACAGCTACCACAACCGTCGACTTACACTTGACATTTGCCAACTCATCAAACAAAGGCCAATGCCTGGCATGCCTCCTTGCAAATGAAATGAAAAAGCAACCTTGTCCACCAAATGAAGCAAAAGGACACTAAGAAGAAGCTCACCATTGTTCGCGGTCAACGTCTTCTAAGTTCCCAGCGAATTGGCTATTTGATCCCAGACTCGTGGGGCATCCAGGGGCCCCAAAAAAAGAATATTCTGCTGGTGGGAAATGATGAAAGTTCACCAGCCCAAAAGCTTAAGACATCCACTGCGATACGAAAGCAGGTCATCTATGGCCCATTTGGAAGAGACATTGGGGAGAAAAACAACAACAGGGGACTCACACTTTGTGCCGTGACTTTGGGGCAACCGCACAAGTTGCTCCCTGTTTTGCTGTGAAAAAAACATGCGGCGTGCGGCATGCGCCTCCCGCTTGAGCAGGTGCAGAATGGGCACCTCCACGATCTCCACGTGCTCCTCGGGCTCCTCGGGCTTCGCCTTGCGAACCTGGCGTCCGCTCTAGCCCCAAAAAAACGGTTCGAAAGTCTGGGCTCGATGGTTTTTCCGGCAACCTTTGGGCCCTCCTTTTGCCTTTTGGCTTCCGGGGTCCGACCAAGAACGGGTTGAGGTATGAGAAACATCCCCCCTGGTTCTTGGATGCAACGGATGGAAATTCTGTTTGGCTGCATGGCATCAAGAAGGCTATGAACTTACCTCGGGCCTGACAGAACATCAACTGCTCATGTGTCTCCACTCTCCGACATCTTGCCATATCGGTGATCCTTTCCCTTGGTCCGGCCTGGCTCCAGTGGAATGGGGTCACCACAGGGCAGATCCAGTCGTTCACTGGCTCCAGCAAGAAGCAGGGCTCCTCGCACCAAGAGGCCCTTACAATATACAGGCGCGTGTTGCACAACCAAGGGCCGCTTCCATAGCTATTAGGCCGGCGGCAAGGATCCCTAGTTTTGATGGCAAACGCTCAAACGCACACAAACAACAGCTCGCCATTTCGGAATGAAACGTGCCCATCAATCGCTAAGGGAGTTTGATCACCGACGGCCCGGGAAGGCTCCGCCAGGGAGATGATGAGCTCGCGCCACTCGGTCATGAGACAAAGGCCCTGCTCCATCCTTGGGTGAAGTCGGATCGAAAGTGTTTGCCGCTTAGTCCGGTCCGAGCGAAATGAAAGCATTCCTGCCGGGGTGAGGCGATGCCCCTGGAGAAACGGATTTCAGCTGTTGCTAAAACGTCTTTGTTGAGCTCAACAAATATTCATGCCTAGGCGGTGTTTGCCAAGAAAAGCCCTTAAGCATTGTGAACCAATATCAATCCAGTAAGTGTGTTCCACAATCCGCATCCGCAGGATGCCTTGCGACTGGTAAGACTTTCCCTTGAGGCATGGCAATATCCAACGGAGGTTGCTGCCTTGATCCGGCATGAACACCAACTGCAACGGGTCATGGTTTCCCCGAGCCAGGCGAACGTGGCCAAGGCTCACAGAGTTTGTCAACCTTGGTGCGCATTGTGCGCACAGTTTGCTCACGCAGCGTACTTGCGGAACGCATCCCACCCTGTACCCTGCTTCCGTTGACCACCTGCACGTTTCGGGTTGCACCCAGGAGGGGTATTCATTCATTGGGTACCCCGCCAAGGTGCCATCTTGTGCCATACCCGGGTAAAGGTTGGGCCAGAAATCCTATTTAACCAGGCAGTCGGATTTCCATCGCAAACGGCCGGGATTTGGGGGATCGCAGGCCGCACCCGCCCCTGGCACCAAGTCTCGTGTGCACAAAGGGCCCGCCCACGCCCAGCGGGCCCAGCGCGTGCACCATGCACCGGGTGAGACCTCGGAGAGTGACCCTTCTCTTTTCGCAAATAGACTGACCGACTCCCTTGCAAAGGGTTTCCGAGCACTCCATGTCCCGCTTTAGTTGCAGGCGAAACCGAAAACCTCAGCCACCAGGCGCGGCATGACACCCTGAAAAAGGGGTTGTTGCGCGCAGAAATGATGACGTGCATTCACCAGTTGTCATACACAGTGCGCAGGGAACGGTCCTTGTGGCATGAGGATAGCGAACTCCACGGTTTCCGGGCCAACTGCTGCAACAAGAACGGCCAGTCAAATTCCTGAAAGCCATTCAAGTGAGGCGGATAGCTCTTGGCATGTTGCCAGGGCTTTCCTCAAATGCCTTGGAAGGGATCGGACAAAGGGCGTTTGCAAGGGCAGCCTGCCGAATGGGATTGTAAAGTGCTGTCCGGGGCACGGAAAGGCACGCGCTCGGGAACGCGCAATCGCTGCCCGCGGTCGAAGCAGATCGAGTAATCCACATGCACCACCTGAAGGTGCAAAGCCAAGCACTGGAATCCGTGTGAGACAAATTCAACTGGACTTTCTGCGCCCAAAGCGTCAAAGAAGGGGGCTTGAAAAGGGGAAGTACATCTCACGACCTTCTTTTTGCAAGAACATCTCAACCCGGGCCAAACTGATGAGTAAACAAATCGCGGGTGTTCCCTGAAATGGAGACCCCCGGCAAGTGGTGGATTTCATGTTGGTTCCCCTACAAACATCATCCAGAAAGGATCCTCAGCAGGACATGCTGTAACATGCGGCATGCCTCAAGAGAAACTCATCATCATCATCATCATCATCATCATCATCATCATCATCATCATCATCATCATCATCATCATCATCATCATCATCATCATCATCATCATCACTCATGATAGCTTTCACATGTTGAGACTAGAAGGCGGGGTGGCAGCATTCCATCCAACAAATGGCCGCCGCCGGCAAGCAAGCAGAAACCGTGGGCAGGAACAGAGCGAAAGCATGGCAAACGCCGGAGCATCGACAAGAGATTGGCGGTCCGAACCAACTGCTTCAGGTGAGAGGGAGGTGGGGCACAAAAATGCTCCTTGGCAGCGATGCGACGTGAGGCATGTGGGGCATACGAGCGCGCCCATGGGCCAGCACCAGCCTCACCAGTGGTGAGGTCCAAGAGGACATTGTCCAAATGCCTCAGCCCAGAAAGCCAAGTGGTCTCCAATGCGAAGCTGCGACTCGCTCCCAAAATGCTATTCACCCCATGCCAACACGGAAGCCCAAGGACGTGCCCGCCATTTTGCCGGCTCCCTCGCGCTTCAGCCGTTCTTGGCATTGGCCAGGCTGCCGGTCCCCCAGGCCGATGAGGTGCCCCAAAACGGAGGAGAAGGCGCAGGAGAGCGTGTACGCGTTCTGCCGCATGAAGTGCTGCCCTGAAAGGCAAACGGAAGCAGCACAACTCAGCTCAAGGCCCTGGAAACTGAAAGGCCATGCGAAGCCCACCCGCCTAGCGCAGCCCGCCAACCCGACCCAACCCAAGCAGCCTTTCCAGCTACACGTCGACTAAATGACGATCTGCCCCAAACCGCCCGAACCAGTGGCTCCATGAAAGTCACATCCTCAACATTACACGCTACATGGTGACTAGACATGATGAAGGGGTGTCCCCCCAAAGTATGTTTGAAGTGAGAACTCCTCAAAATCCTCGCTGCCAGAAACCCAGAACCATCCGCTTTGGGTGGAGGTTGGAGTCTCTCCGGTCCTGGGTGCAAGGAGCTGAGCAGCAGCTCCCGGCTGATGAGGTCCCGGGGGCTGTCCGCCTGCATCTCCTCGAAGGTCCTCGCCCGAGGAGCGCCCGGCCCGAGGCATCGACTCTGGCAAGAACATGCTGGCTCCCAGCATATGAGAGAACGACCAGTATACATACGTATGTGTATATGTGTATATATATATATATATATGAGTGTGTGTGTGTGTGTGTATGTGTGTGTGTGTGAATCATCCCTGGTGGTTCCCTTTGACTCTGAGGGCATCCCTGTAGTCCTTCCCAAATGAAGCATGTGCCACGGAATCTCATCCTCAATTGAAGCCATTGTAGTTCCCCATTCTCTTTTCCTGGCAACACCCCTCTGCCCCGGCCAGCGTAGGGGATAAACAAGTGCATATCGCTCCCCAATTCATTGCACGCGTGCTGCGTGGACATCTTTTGAGGCGTCGCAACAATAAAACGCATATATCTTCAGCATCCGCAAGAACTTAGTAGCAAACAGGTCACAGCTGGTCTTGAAGAGTGCCAAACCCATCTTTCAACAACCACCAGCACTCAACGGTAGCGCTAATAATCAATTTCACATTAATCAGGTTGACTGCCTCACGAACTCCAAATGGATCACCCCCACACCTCGGATTGCATAGTTGATTGGGAGGGCTGTTATGATTCTGACCAATAGTTCCGTGTTGTGACCTGCGCCCCTCGCAAAAACGTGATGTTCGCTTGGCGTTACACGCGGGCGCTATGACCTTTGCCTCAGCCCATTCCAGCCCTCTCCTGCGCAGCGCCTCCGGTGGCCACTGCCGCCGCGGCTGCGACACGTCGGAGTCTAGGGCCCTCAAGGAGTGGCGTGGAATTTGATGCCAGAGGCCCCCGCATTGCGTGGCAAAAAAACAAAAATGGGCGAATCTCGGGGGGGGGGGGGGGGTTGGCCAAAGGCTTGGCCTTTCGGATGCCAAGAGATGCTTCAAATATTTCAGAGCTCCGTTGCTTTTGGGGTTGCAGACTGACGGCTGGTTGCTCAACCTCTACACCTCCTATCACGTTGGTGGGAAAACAGCATGGAGCAGACTTTCCAAGTAAGATCATGTCTTTCGATTATCACGGCAACACTGGAAGAAGCGTGCAAGGTAGCGATAGAACTTTAAGGTTGGCATGGAGGCATCCGGTCCTGAAATGCAAAGATTAGATCAGCAAGCCCCAAAGCTCTCACAATTTCCTTTCAGCAGCCCTCTTTGCCCTGCGCTGAGAAAAATCAGCAGAACAGAGCGGGCTCCGGATCATGCTCCCCAACACGGGTTTCCAGCGTGCGCGACCATCTTCGGCTGGCCAAAAGCCACCAGCTATCCCCGTCGACTAGTTTGCCATTCAACCTGGGCGGTACAAGCAATCCAACGTGCTCCACTGGTTCGCTGCGCCGGCTGTAAGGGCATACTTTAAACTATAGATTCAAGGGTTACCGGTTTGGGGCCCAAAAGGAAACAACAAACCGTCCAAGTGCGCTGCTCGCACATTTTCACGCTTGAACAGCCACACTGCGGATGCAATGGATGTAAAACCCCATATTGACCGATCAAATTCTTCACCCCCCTCTGCGTGTTAAAGGGGCCTTTCACAAAGCAGCCAAACAGTAACACAACAGAGGGAGAAGGTCAGGGGAACCATTGTTTCATGCAAACCATGACAGTTGCGCTTTCAGCGCCACTGCCAAGTCGAATAGCTACCGCTACTGTCACCCCATCCGCTCCATTCGGACCAGTTCTGCCAGCTGCCACGGCTCCAATGCACACCCTCGCGGGCGGCGGGAGCGCTCGTCTCGGCATAGCGGGCTGCATTGCGAGCAAGGTGCTTGCTGCCTTCGTTCCTCGAAAATTCGATCGAGTTACGTGCATACCGCTCATTCTGGCTGAAAATCCAGTCCATCTCGTTGCGGAGGTCGTCCAACGTGTTGCCTCGCAGATGGATGATGCCATTCCAACAACCGATGCTGCGAGGCCTGTCTTGTTCAAAAACCACGTTGATGAAAGCTCTCGGGCTATAAGGCATCCCTTGGAACATTATGATCCAGCGAGAGGAAAGCGCATCTTGGAGTTCGTTGGGCAGGAACTCCAACTCTGTCTTGATATACGCGAGCCTTGCGATTCGCGACTCCGAAGTTGATCCAAGGCCAACTCGCAGAGTGCGCTGGGCCTGCGACTTCTTTGGAGCAGCCAAGACGAGATTTGCGCTCAACTCCATGCGGAGCATGTCCGCCTCCCGACAGCCCACCTCAAGCATACGAACCCTGTATTGAAGGTCGAGTTCATAGCGGTCCAGCAGAGAGTGGTAGCCGTTCTTCAGGGCGGACTTGAGCTTCTTCCGTGCCTCCTGAATGACAGCACTGTCCGGGGAGTTCAAGCCACGAATGATGCTGCTACGATCCTCCTCGCGAAGGTCAAATGTTCCCACAGATGCCAGGACCTGAGCTGTGACGTGGGTGCTGAGGCCCATCTTCTTCAACAGATTGGAACGCTGCACGATGTAATTCTTCTGTTGCTCTTTCAACAGGCGTGGATTGCGGGGAGACAACTGCCCACATGATGAGCAGTGCACCTGCCCCTCAAAGACACTGTTGTTGCAAACCGGGCACGTGGCGACACTCAGCTCAACGTTCTCCATTGGGTTGAAAGTCTTCTGTCTCTTCGCTTCCCCTTGCGGGGCGCGAGGAGAGGCCACAGTTGTGCGCGTCGTAGCAATACGTTCCAGCGCTGTTGAACGATCATCAACCACAGCTTGGTCGCGCTTCATTCCCTGGGGTTCATCCTCAGTCGCCTCAGCTGGTGCACCTACATCCGATTGCTCGGAGCGAGTGTACCATACATCGCCATTTGTAGCGTCCAATACAGAAATAATCGTGTAGTTGGGCACCTTGTCGCGCGTGAGGACGCCATCGCTCTCCGTTTTGAAAAAGCAAAGCCCTGCGCGAATGGCCATCCTGAGGTCGATCTGTATTTCCAGGGGTTTGTTCGCACGTACACCTGATATGTAATTTTCATTCGTGCTGGGGACGTCAGCGAAGAAAACGTGCCTGGCAGTAGTCCGTTCGCGAAATTTCGCTTATCAGTGCGGTGATAAAGCACAGTTGGAGGGTTGCTGCAAACGTTCCAGCCAGACCAGCGCCCGAGGTCAGTCCCCGGGTTCACGTACCACTCCTTCGCGATGCCGGAGTCGTCGATCTGAAGCCAGTCCTCATGGCCTTGAGAGGCCTTCAGCTTGAAAAGCCAATGAGAACATGGGACGTCTCCGCACCGGCTTGCGTCCGGGCAACCAAGGCCAATGAACCTCTGCTTCTTGTCCAGCTTGAAGATGTCCATGATATTCTGGATATTCCATGGAATGGGATGTCGCAGCTCCTTGCGAAGCGCGAGTCCCAGGTCTTCGAGTTCCATGTAGCCGTCCTCATCCATCACATACCCGCATCCTTCTGTTCCACGACCACGGAGGATCTTGGAGATGCACGTCAGGGAACGGTGGTATTCGTCACTGATTCTCCTGACGGAAGGGTCATAATCGAAAGAGGGCTGCTTGATGATGTCGAGTCTCTTGGGGCCCTCGCCGTAGTCGACATACTTCACGCCATCATGAATGCTATACACCCAGCAGTCATAGTGGCCCCCAGTCACGCTCCTCCCGTAGGAGTCGAGTGGTACCGGCCTGCTCGCCGCCTCGTCCCTCTTTGCCACCGCAGCCGCCTTTGCACCGGCTTGCGCCGGGCGAACACTTTCGGAAACATCTGCACCGGAAGGCTCACCTGAAGTTGCAAACTCGGCTGGGTTGACGGGGGCGAAATCGAGAGGCTGCCGGACTTCCACTTCTTCACGGGTGAAAGGGAGCCCGATCATCTCTGACAAAGAAACACCGCACTTCGTTAGCGTCTCCTTGCAGTACGCGAGAACCTCAACGTTGACTGTGCAATCTTCTTGGTGGCGCACCTCGAGCACATCGATCGGACGCACGGTACAGTCGTGCGAACGTGTCAGCTCGGCTACGCTGCCCATTGCGGGGCGCAAGATAGAAAGCATATACAACATGTGATGGGTTCCGCGCATGAACTGGACGGTCTTCGTAATGTTGTCATCACTGAAGCACATATGATACCTGTCCAGCAAATCGATAGTCTCGACAAAGGGTGTGGCATCTACGTACACGAACATATGATTGGGGTCGCCGATGATGTAATCCCGGACTTCCGTCATGTAACGGTCCCAAATCATAGAGAAGCCGTAGAGATAGCTTTTCGCGCCGGTCATGACTCCAAGGCATGCGCAGCCCTTGCGGGCCGCGAAATCCCTGGTCCAAGCCAGGTGCCTCTTGGTGTCTGCCAGCAACTGACTGGCCTCGCCGGCGGGGTGGTCGAACGGGTAGGTACCGCTGGGCTCAATGCCGTCCTTCCCAACAAGCTCATTGCCGTTCCAATAAATCATCGGAACGATGGTCGCCGTCGGGTAGTCCGTGCGCACCTCGTCGATAAGGGCGGCCATGCGCTTGCAAAGCTGTTGCAGGCCTTTGCCCCAAAGCATTTCTGACCTCCATGCACCGACACGCGCCGGGCGAGAAGCATCCAAGCATTCTGCAAAATCATATTTGCGGAGCTTCTTCTTCTTGCCCGAAACCATTGACAGTCCTGAGTCAGCGACAGTCAAATAGATAAGGAGGTCGCGATCTGGTACACGTGGAGCCTGCACAACCTTCAAATAAGGTTCGCTTATAGTTAACAGGGGTGTAAGCAACTGCAAATAATGCGGTTAGTCCTGCACCCATGTATGGATAAGCGACTGTGCAGAGGTCGTCTCCAGGAGGCCCTTGACCGTAGCGGCGAGGTTAACGTCGTACTTGCCGTTCGTGCATACCGATGTGGTAGCAACATTCTCCATCCACCGCCTCCATGCCGGATCGCAATCCCTCGCGGGATGCGCCATAGCCGTTGGGCCGCTCATTGCGAAAACGATGCAGCGCAATTACTCGAAAGCAACGGCTGCATGGTGGCATGTTCGGAAAATGCATTGTGAACGGCATCAGTGTAAATGTACGTGTATCCCTCGGCTTCCTTCAGGTGAGTGCCACGGCTTTCATCATGCTCGTGAGAACCATCACATTTGAAGTACTCAACAACGGAAATAGTGGGCGTATTACTGGCAACGACCCATTGCTTTTTCATTGGTTTTCCATTTCTCCCTTTAATGCCGATTTTGCAACCATGGAATTCATACTTGTTCATCTTGTACTTAGTTAAGAAACTCCATAGTTCAGGCCATTTCCAATAACGACACGCCTTGGGGAGTTCGAAGGCAACTCTAATGTCATTTGAATACACGTCATTGAGAAGGCGTTTGAACCCTCTCAACAGTGATCGGAATTGCTTGATGCGGCCCTCAATCTTGGCAGCACCTTTGGGAGTTTGCTGGTTGACATAACCCCACGGGCAACCTCCAGTGCATGGCAACGAGACGTAGAACATGATTGCGCCCTTAGGATTCTTGCTCCTGAACTCGGCGATTTCACGGCCTAACCACTGCCTGCACGTATCGGAGCACCCGTCTTCGGTTTCCGTTACCCGAATGACACGGCAACCTTTTGAAGAGTCTCTTGATTCGCCCAACCGTGAGGTCGTCGAACAACAGAATTCAATAAGGAGGCGCTTGGGCTGAACGTTGCATAACGCAGCGATCTGCCCCCCTTGATCGCTAACTTCTCCGGCCTTGGCGCATGGGGAGAGCAGCAAACTGGTGGCACAGGCTCGCGCCTGGCGACTGGGGGAGATACCGATCAGCTCAAGTGCATGGTGCCACACCGGGGTG